GCCGATCCATGATTCTCTCTCATCATTGATGTTTCTCTCGCTCCCTCTCCCTTCCTCTCTGAAATCAATAAAAAATATTAAAACAGCCCTAACCGGTTTGGCTCAGTGGATAGAGCGTCGGCCTGTGGACTGAAGGGTCCCGGGTTCGATTCCGGTCAAGGGCACATGCCGGGGTTGCAGGCTCGATCCCCAGTGGAGGCAGCCAATCAGTGATTCTCTCTCATCATTGACATTTCTATCTCTTCCTCTCCCTCTCCCTTCCTCTCTGAAATAAAAAATATATAATTTTTTTAAAAAGGGGGGAACTCAGGGAGCAGGGCAGAAAGGACAGTGCTTGTCTGATGGCTTTTCTTAGGCAGAAGGTGGAAGACGTGCTGGGTCTGCACGTGGCGGGGTGTGGCCGGGCGGGTAGGAGAGTTGGCCATCTGTCCCCTCTGAACAGGACAGACCCAGCGCTTAGCTTTCAGGAGCTGCTCCGTCCCCGCCCACCCAGGGGCGTCGAGCAGGTGCAGCTCAGGAACCCGTCTGGACTCACGTCGGGGACTCGTGGCTGTCCCTGGGGTGGCACCTACAGAAAGTGGCCACTGCCCAGCACCAGGCTTGTCTCAGGCCTCTCGCCTGCTCGGCCTCCCCGGGCCTTTTTTTTTTTTTTTTAATGACAGACTTTATCATTATCTTTGTCCCAATATTCATTCATTCTTTCCTCACCCGAGGATATTTTCCATTGATTTTCAGAGAGTGGAAGAGAGAGGGAAAGACAGAGAGAAACATCCATGGGAGAGAGACACATCGATGGGTTGCCTCTTGCATGAGCCCCGACCAGGGAGGAGCCTGCAACTGAGGTACATGCCCTTGACCGGAACCGAACCCGGGACCTGTCAGTCCCCAGGCCGATGCTCTATGCACTGAGCCACACCGGCCAGGGCCAGGCCTCCGTGGCCTTGAGCAATTGCGCAGGAAAAGGACGCTGAGTGGCATGTCTTCAGACTTCCTTCCGCACACGCCGGTGTCCTGAACAGTGTGTCCTGCTGTCCAGTTGCTCAACTTGCGGGTCCTTGAGGCCCAGAGCTCTCGCCCCGCTCCCCAGTCCGCGCTGTGCCCCGCGGCCGTCCGGCGTTTCCCGTGTTTGGCTGCTGGAAGCAGAGCTCTTGTGAAGACACTTGTACTTTGGTTTTTCTTTGGGGTCATTTCCTTGGAAGCTTATCTTGAGGAGCAGAGGTGATAGGTAACGTATTACTCTGGCTTTCGCCCAGCCTGGACTCGCTGCCCTTCCGCCCACCGGGCCGTGCAGGGGCGGGGGCTGCCGTGAACACCAGGGGGCGGCCAGGGCCCTCTGGGGAGATGGACGTGCAGAGGGCATGCAGGATCCTAGTCCCGAGGCCACGGGAGGACCCTCCAGGGACAGCGCCGTGGGGGGTGGGGGGGGCTCCTCGAAGGGAGTAGGTCTCCCCCTCCCCACCAGCAGTAGCGAAGCCCTGCCCTGCGGTTGCTCGAGAGCCGCCAGCCGGCCAGGAGTTGTGCAAACAGCGGGCCCTTGCGGTGGCCCTCGGGACACAGGGCCTTGCCTAACTTGTTTTTCTCCCCCTTGGCCAGCGGAGGCTCTTCTGCAAGTTTCCTCATCTTGCTCACTGTCCGGGGATGCCCTCCTGCCCTCCCCTGGGGCTCCCTGTTTGTCACATTGGCCTGGCACTTGGGGCCCCTCTGGCCATCTGTCGTCCGCAGGGCCCGCCTGGGACAGAGGTGCCTCGGCACCCCGACTCCCAAGGGCCTCGGTGCTGAGGGGCAGCTGTGTCCTCAGCCTGGCGCTGCCAGGGCTGTGCAGGGGCACCGCTTCCCCGAGGTGCTCTCACCGGGAGATAGTGCTGGACCTACAGGGAGGGCGGTCAGCACGCGGCCCGGCCCGGCCGGCAGGGCTCGGGGGTTGAGCGTCGACCTATGAACCAGGAGGTCACCGTTTGATTCCCGGTCAGGGCACATGCCTGGATTGCGGGCTCCATCCCAAGTGTGGGGCGTGCAGGGAGCAGCCGATCATGATTCTCTCTCATATCGATGTTTCTCTCTCTCACTCTCTCCTTCTTCTCGGAAATCATTGAAAATCTATTTAATAAAAACATAAACGACAGGAACCAGGCCTCCTTGTCCCCTGCCCCCCGGCAGGGCTGGCCCTGGGCCTCGGCCCTGCAGGGTCAGGTGAAGGCAGCTGCAGCCACGCGGCTAAGAAGGGCCCGCAGGTCCCCGCACCGGGCCAGCTGTCCGTCCGCTGCGGCTGCACCTCTCCCAGGGCCTGAGGCTTCTGGGGTGAGACCAGCTGAAAGCTGTGAGGCCGGTGTTCTATGGTTCGGTGTCTGTCCAGGGGCCAGGGAGGGGGCTGTGTCCTGACCCTTCCCCTCCGGCCCCCGCAGCTTCCTGATGGGCCCTGACTGGTGGCAGGCGGGGCAGCGGGCGAGGGCTGTCACAGGTCCACCCTGCGGACGTTGCCTGGGTCTCTGGTCTCGGCCTCTGGCAGCCTCACCCTGTTGGGTTTGAGATGCTTCCCTCCTTCCTGCCCGTTGCCCGTGATCACCCATCCGTGCCAGGCCCAGGCGCCCGCTGGCTTCGGCGCTCGCCTGCTCTGCTCCCGGCTCCTTGGTGAGGTGGCCGGATGGAGGGAGAGGAGCCTGAGGAAGGTCTAGGGCAGCGGTTCTCAACCTGTGGGTCACGATCCCTTTGGCGGTCGAACGACCCTTTCACAGGGGTTGCCTAAGACCATCCTGCATATCAGATATTTACATGACGATTCATAACAGTAGCAACATGACAGTTATGAAGTAGCAACGAAAATAATGTTATGGTTGGGTCACAGCATGAGGAACTGTATTTAAAGGGCCAGAGGGTTGAGAACCACTGGTCTAGGAGAAGAAGCATTTGGGAGCTGGGCTTTGTGCGATGAAGAGATATGAACCTGGGAAGGTGAGCAGGGTCTGAGCGAGGAGGAATGCGGAGCGGCCCCTGGCCCCTGGGTGGCAGCCGGGGCGCTGCCTCCCACGGGGTCCTGGCTCTGCCCTGCTGGCCATGGAACGCCCATCCGTGGCAGCCGGGGTGTGGCAGGTTCGGGTTTATATCTGGTGATGCCCAGCAGGTCAGGCTGGCAAGGTCCCCGCATCTGCTGGGGCCCAGGCAGGCCTGGGGGCCGGGGTGGAGGGGCGGAGCCAACTTTCCTCTGCCCTAAGGTCCATCCGGCCGGTGTAATAATCACACAGACACGAGACAGATCAGCAAGAGAAAATAACCAAATTAAGCGGTGCCCCTGCACGGCCCTGGCAGCGCCAGGCTGAGGACACAGCTGCCCCTCAGCACCCAGGCCCTTGGGAGTCGGGGTGCCCAGGCACCTCTGGGGAGGCCTAGTTCCTGTCGTTTGTGTTTTTATTAAATAGGTTTTCATTGATTTCCGAGAAGAATTTGGCATACATATCTACACGCGTACGGGAGCCCCGTGTGGGAGCGGTTCAGAGCCCGGGAGGGGTTGAGGGAATGAGACGCCCTGAGCCGGGCTCGGTCCTGCCCCTCGGAGCTGCAGAGGTGTTGCGGGAGGAGAAGAGCCCCCCTTTGTCCGCAGGGTGTGCCCGCCCCATGGAGGTCAAAGAGGTGACCTCTGGTAGCAGCCGTGGGCAAGGCCTGGAAGTCAGTTTCTTCTCCGTAGCTCCAGGCTGGGCAGAAGGTTCTTGAGTCTGTGGCTAAAGTTGCCTTTAGCTCAAGACAACCCGCATGGCACAGAGGCACGTGTGGGGTGATGGTGCAGGACCCCCGGGGGGCAGGCATCCGGCGGTGGCGTGAGGCCGGCCCTCGGTCCTGCCCCTCGGAGCTGCAGAGGTGTTGCGGGAGGAGAAGAGCCCCCCTTTGTCCGCAGGGTGTGCCCGCCCCATGGAGGTCAAAGAGGTGACCGGCGGTGGCGTGAGGCCGGCCTGGGCTGCTCAGGGACCGTAGGGGTGATGCCACCCTGTGCCCGAGGCTGAGGGCCCGTCTGACCTGCGCCCTCGCCTTCCAGTGTGCATGACCAACTGCCCCACACTCATCGTCATGGTGGGCCTGCCCGCCCGGGGCAAGACCTACATCTCCAAGAAGCTGACGCGCTACCTGAACTGGATCGGCGTGCCCACGCGGGGTGAGGCTCTCCAGGGGGCCTGGGGCCGAGTGGGGACAGGGGGAGGAGAGGGGGCTGGACTGCCGTGGGGCAGGGCCGGGGGGGCCGAGGTCGGAGTGGGAGGGCTGCTTTGTGGGAGAGCCGAGCCTTCCTTCTCTCCTCCAGAGTTCAACGTGGGTCAGTATCGCCGGGAAATGGTCAAGACGTACAGGTCTTTTGAGTTTTTCCTTCCAGACAACGAAGAGGGCCTGAGGATCAGAAAGTGAGTGTGTGCATGTGCATGTGTGTGCACATGTGTGTGTGTGTGTTTATGTGCGTCTGCGCACGCACATGCATGTGCACGTGTGCACACGTGTACAAAGGGCCAGGAGCTTGTGGAGCCCGGTTGCTGGTCAGGACAGAGCTGCTCCTGAGCCCTGGCCTCGCCTGCCCGTGGGCTGTGCCCGGGCTGGTCTGTCGGCCTCAGGGCTGGTGGTTGGGTGTGAGGGGGGCGGGGGAGAGGGTGTGGTGTCTTGGTGCTGGCCTGGTGGTGATGAGGACATCCTGGGGACGGGGAGGAGGGGAGGACAGGGCCTCAGGGAGGCGGCCGAGGCTTAGCCAGGGCAGGTCAAGGTGCTGTCCATGGGGACAGCCTCTGGGAGGGAGGAAGCCGAGTGGGTGCAGGGACAGGCCTCAGAGGGGGCCAGCTCGCAAAGCCAGAAGGACCGGACCGGGCCCAGAGCTGGGCCTTCCCTCCCTGGCCCCAGGACAAGCCCTCCGGGACCTCTGGAGGGGGGTCAGCTGGTGCCTGGAGAGTGCCCGAGACCCTGGCTCAGCTGTGAAGGGCTGGGTGATGTCCACCCTCCTGCTGTTGTTCTTGCAATGGGCATTTGCACAGGAGGCCTGCCCCCCCCACCCCACCCCCCGACCTGAGTCCTTCCTCCGGAGACTCGCGCTGGTGGTGTGAGGAGCGGCTGCTCTCTGGGCAGGCGTCAGCTGAGGTGCGAGCAGCTTCCTCGCCCTGGGTCTTGGCCCAGCCTTGGAGCAGGGCGCTGGGCAGAGGGTGGCCTAGCCCCGCTAACCTCCCCAAGCCCAGCCAGCCCGGTCACCGGGTCAGACGCCAGCTGGGTGTGGACACTGGGCAGCCAGGGCTCCTCACTGTGGCCTCTGCTCTTGGGGAAGTGGGTGGGGCCAGGCTGCTGCACCAGGAAGGGCCGACATTCAGGCCTCTGTGGCCGAGTTGTGGGTGACACTCAGTTTGGGCTCTGGTGCTATGGACCCGGACAGAAGGGAGGGGCTGAGGTTTGAGCTCCTACTGTGCGCTGGGCGTGTGAGGCCCATTGTCACCCTCCCCCCACTGTACGGGGGGACAGGCTCAGACGGCTCACACAAGACACCAAGTTATCGACACACCCATGGGCACACATGGGTCCACACACACACGTGTCCATGTGTACACAGTCGCACTGTCCACGTGAGTAAGCACACATGTGGACACCTCACTCATACGTGTGTCGTCAGCCACACAGCACACAAGGACACGCACGCACATACCTGCGTACCGCACGCACACACAGAGGCGCGCCCGGGGTCACCGTGGAGACGTACTCACACTCAGGCACTCAGACGGTGTGGGGTCCCCAGGGCCCCCAGGTTCAGGGTCAGTGATTGGCTGGGACCTCAGCCTGCGGCCCTCCTGGCTGAGGTTTCTCACAGCAAATGGTGCAAAGCAGCCCCGGCAAAGGGTTCAAGTCCAGAGGAAACCAGGCTTCCGGCGTCCTCTGCCCCGGGCTCCGGCCGGACACACGGATTCCTCCAGCAGGAGCTGGTCACGGACACGGGCCAGGGTTCACCGGGGCTGGTCACCCTGGGCCTGTGTACTCGGACGGCGTTTACACACGCATGTCCTGTATTACACACACATCCTGAAACCTACACTCGCGTGTGGGTGCGCACACGTACCCCGTGTACACGTGTGCGACCCAGTCACCACACACAGGGCTGGGGACACGGTGTTTGCTCAGACGCCACGATGTCCCACAGTTCAGTTCACTCGGGCCTGACCCTCCCCGAGTCAGGTCAGCTCCCAAGGGAGGGCTCAGTCCCCGGCGCCCTCTGCAAACAGCAGCCAGAGCCCCGGGCGCCCCTGCTCCTCCGGGCCCTGTGCCGGGTTCCTCAGCCTCTCCGGGTCCAGGGACTGGCTGGACGCGCTCCCGCGCTCAGGACCACACGTCACTGCGTTGACGGGTTCACGGTAAAGGGTACAGCAGCCAGCCCTGGCCGGTTGGGCGCCTGTGGACTGAAGGGTCCCGGGTTCGATTCCAGTCAAGGGCACAGGCCTGGGTTGTGCGATCAATCCCCAGCAGGGGGCGAGCAGGAGGCAGCTGGTCCATGATTCTCTCTCATCCTTGATGTTTCTCTCTCTTCCTCTCCCTTCCTCTCTGAAATCAATAAAAATATTTTAAAAAAGAAAGGAAAGAAGGAAGGGAGGGAGGGAGGGATACAACAGCCAAAGGGAAGAGGTGCCCCGCAGGGCAGGGCAGGGTGGAGCTCCCAGCCCTGGGGCGGCACCCCACGCCCTCACCAACCTGTAGCTCCCCAGCTCTGTGCTTCAGGGGCTTTCCTAGCGCTCAGGTTCGTCTCCAGCCCGCCCCCCACTGACCCTCCTGCGGCCAAGGCGGGCGCCGGCTGACCCTGTGTCTCCTCCCGGAAGGCAGTGTGCCCTGGCCGCTCTCCGTGACGTCCGGCAGTTCCTTAGTGAGGAGGGGGGACACGTGGCGGTGAGTGTGACACCCCCAGGACATCTGGGGGGACATGTGGGAGCCCACACGCATCCGTCCCTGTTGCTCATGGGCCTCTAGAGGGAAGGCCGGGTGCGTGGCCACGCGCCGGGGGCAGCCCCTGGACAAAGTGCAGCCGCTGGGCAGGGGGGCGCCAGGGGCTGGGAGGGGCTGGGCTGTGGCTGCCTTTGCCTCTGAGTGCTTGTCCAAGGCCCTAGGCCCCCCCCACACACACACACACAGGCCGGAGGGATCGTGTCCCCTCCCCTGCCCTCCCCTCTCCTTTTTACTGGGGTCTCAGGGTAGGTTGGAGGTCAACATGGGTTCATGGGTTCAGTTCTCCAGGTTTAACTAGTTTCACGGGACATCTTGTGGGTCAGACGTGAGCTCAGAACCGCGTTTGCAGAGCAGCTGCTGAGAGCGTCCCCCGGGAGGGTTGGCGGCCCTGCCCTGCGGGAGCAGAGCACCCCTCCTGCCAGCTCCCGGGTGCGGGTGCGAGGGACTGGCCAGGGCAGCAGTGTCCCCCTGGGATGTCCAGTAGCCTCCACCGTCTCCGGGGCCAGAGGCGCGTTAACCCAGTTTGGTCCTAGGTTTTCGATGCAACAAACACCACCCGAGAGCGGAGGGCGACCATCTTTAATTTTGGGGAGCAGAACGGCTACAAGGTGAGACCTGGGGGGCTCACGTCCTTCCTGGGCTTCCGGGCCCCTTTCCCGGCCTCCTGATGGGCCGGGGCTTCGGACAGGGCGGCCCAGAAGGAGGGCCCTGGGCGGGGAGGGCGCTCTGTGGGGCCAGCCCCGCCCTGTTGACCCGGGGTCCCCCTCCTGCCCTCGGCCCTGGTCCCGGCTGCAGACCTTCTTCGTTGAGTCCATCTGTGTGGATCCCGAGGTCATCGCGGCCAACATCGTGGTGAGTGCCTGACCTTCGCGGGGCAGTCGGTCCCTCCCCCCCCCCTCCCACGCGAGGGCTTGTGCCTGGGCCTCATTCGCTCTTCCTGACCTCGGGGCAGGGGCGGGGGACAGTAGGGTGCTGGTCAGGGGAGCCTGGGCCCCCACCCCCACCCCCGCCCAGGGCCACTCAGGTTGGGGGGCTTTGTGGCATGTGGGCATTCATTCTGCCCCCCTCTCCCTTCCCCTCATAGTCCCCGGGCGTGGAGGGAGGCATCAGCTCAGCCCCTGGGTGGGGGGGTGACATTTAAAAATATATATATTTTTAGTGATTAGTGATTTCAGAGAGGAAGGGAGAGGGAGAGGGAGAGAAACATCATGATGGGAGAGAACAGTTGATCAGCTGCCTCCTGCACGTCCCCCACTGGGGATCGAGCCTGCAACCCGGGCCTGTGCCCTGACCGGGAACCACAGCCTCATGGTTCATAGGGCGAGGCTCACCCACTGAGCCACACTGGCCGGGCTGGGGCGATATTTACATTTTGAGAAAGAAAGAGACTTGGCTCCTCTTCCCTGTCCCTCCCTCCACAAGGAATGAGCATCTGGGTTTGAGGAGATGGTTCAGGTGGGGAGGGGCCTCCCCTCCCCCTCCCCCTCCCCCT